AAACAGAGTTCAGCAAACCAAGTTAATATCCATAACAAAGTAAGCAAAAATCATCTACTTAGGGTTTAATTCAACTAAGAAAGCCCAAAACTTTCCTAACAAAGAGAGCACAATGTAACACAATAGATAGATTTAAAAAATTACCTCATGATGTTGTTAGTGTTTTGGGGGAGACGAAAATTGAGAGAGCAGATGTATGTATGTGCCGTTTTGAAATTGCTAGGTTTTGATTATATACTGAAGGTTTCGAAATTTGAAGGTGTGATGTTGCAAATTTCTAGATACTTCTATTGCCTAGATATTTGGAAAAGTGAAAATATTTTTATTGTATCATTTAAATACTCCTAATAAATAAAACAAACCGTACCTTTTATTTTTATTTTTTTATAAAAAAAAAAATCATAATGTAAAGGTGGTGCTTTTTGTGGCTTTTGTTATTGCCAGACTAGAACCAGTGTTTTAAAAAACTCAATTGGGACTCGCATCGAGGCTCGCCTCAAGGCGAGGCTCTAGCAAAGCACTTGAGACTCAAGTGTGAGGCTTAGTTATGTAAGACTTACGCCCTAAGCGCCCGACTGTACACCTTAAGCGCATCCAACGCCAACGCTCGAGGCACGTCTAACAGATCTTACACAAATTATGTGTTAAAAAGTTAACATTGTTGACCCTAATAATTCTTGAATAGTTGAATGATACTTAATAATTTTTAATCTATAGAGATAAGAAGATTGAGAATAACTCAAATAATAAGTTTTAGTATCGCATCTTTCCTATTTGGTAAAACTGTGAAAATAATTATACATTACGTAACATTTCTTTTAAAAATACGTCGCGAAATTTTACTTTTTCACTTATCATTGGTCTTCATGGTTTTGTCATATGTCTCAAAATTATTACAGTGTATTTTATTTAGCTATTTGAAAGTAATTTTATTTTTATTCATGATGGAGTGCTGTTTTTATGATAATACTAGTAAGGTTATTAAGATTGTATAGTATGATAAAAAAATATTTTTGAGAAATAATGATTCTTTTATTATTAGAAAGTTAAGATATTAGATTATTTATACTTGTATAATGAACTTTTATTTTCTATTAGTTTATTTAATCATATTTGTAATTATTTCAAACTATTGATTTATTTTTATAATTTGTGTTATTATATTATATTATTATACTATAGTATAAATTAAAAATTTAAAGATCCATAGGGCTTACGTCTCGCCCTATACTAAGTAAAACGTCTCGCCTCACTCCCCACCTTTTAAAACACTGACTAGAACTATGTGGTATGGTTCGATAATTACCTTGATTGAATTATTGAAAATCATTTAGTATAAATTTATTCTTTTTGTTAAAGAGAAATATAAGATCAAGTTCAGAATCAAAATTTATTATCTAATTTTAAAATTTTATACCAAATCTCTCGTCTTTCTATTTCTCTTGTTCTCCTCATGCGCTCCCTTCTATCTCTCCTTTTGAAATATTTTTTTCCACAAAATCAAGGTTCGAAAAGTGAATCAACTAACATTTGTATAATTTTTATATTGTAGTTATATACATCAAATATCTCTCAAGATTCTCTTTTTGTATTCTCCGGTGAAATACTATAATCATAAGTATGTTTTTCGATCTTCAGGCATCAAACATCGATACATGTGTAAGTGGTACAATGTTTAAAATGTTTGATACAATATATTAATAATATATGTATCAGGTTTGTCTGACATAATAATTGTGTATAGAGTTGAAATACAGCTACATGTATTATATTTGGGTAAGTATTTGCTTACATGTATCTGAATACATTCTGTATCAGCATGTATTTTTATATTTCTGCATTGCGAATGAATAAATAATACAAGAGTGAATGAACATAGATGATACAATGTGTATTAATTTATATCTGTCATTATATATCAGATTATGATCGTCGATTTTATTCATACTCGATGTATCAAATTGTATATTTGTTGGTACGACATGTATCTAGCATCTGTAGTTATAAATTGTAATCAAATAAATTATAGTTACTAATGATATGTAAGTTCCCTTTCAAATACTTATCTTATTAATAACAATAATTAAATGAGCAAATTACATAAATCCCACTAGTTTAGGTCTTAATTACTAAGATTTTCAGTAGTTTCAAATATTATTTTCTGTACCACATTTCATGCTTAAGATACATGAGTCTGAATACGCGAGATACATGTATCTACCGACTTTTAAAATCGAGATACATATTTCATTTGTTTAAATTAATTAGTTGTAACTAATTTCCTTAATCAGAAGAGTAGTTGAGATACATGTATCATTACTCACGAGATACATGTATCCATCAATTTCAAAACTGATTTACAGGATTTGTGCTTATCAACTTTAACAAGTTTTCCTAAAATAATGAAATCATAAATCATAGTAATTCTGTAATTGTAAACTTCATCTTCTTCATTAATTCCTTCTTTAGTATCTTAAATTTTCGAATATTTCGGCCTTGAGATACATGTATCATTTTTCATGAGATACATGTATCCATCGATTTTAAAAGTCGAGATACACGATTTATTACTTTGAATTAAAGGAGTGTAACTTATTTCATTAATTAATGAATAATTAACAAACCAAACAGATTTACAGGATCATTACGTATCAACTCTAACAAGTGTTCCTGAAATAACAAAATCATAAATCATAGTAATTTTGTAATTGTACACTTCAGCTTCTTCATCAATTCATTCCTTTGTATCTTAAATTTTCGGCTTGAATGTTGGCGGATGAAGACCCTGCAATGACCAAAACCTAATTCGTAAAAGTTTATAAAATCAATTTTTATACCAATATTAAAACTCTATCTCGGGTATATGAAAGAAATGTAAACCAAGATACATGAGAATAATGAAAAATAATACTATAATTTACCTCATTAATACAACAATTGTGTGAAGAAATCTTGAACTTCTTCCGGATAATATTGGTCACCTGAAAGAAGCTAGTTAATGACTAATTTATAGAAAAGATGTATGTACCATGGCGATAATGAATATGAGTTTGTATGATGTTTGATTATCACGATTTAGTGAGGGAAGAGAGAGATGGGGTGGATGTGAAGTACTTTGGGTGGAGGTGAACATAAGGGTAATGATAAATTAATTTGAATTGCTAATGTACCATTAATTAAGGAGTTTAAATTTTAAGATAATTATTCAATACCAAATTCAGAGATTTGTGTATCTAATTAAATCTTTTAAAATATATGATATATATGTTAAAAATGATATTATGTGTAATTTTTTTAAATTAGAGATAACATAAGAATATATGATAATAAAGTATATCTAGTTAGATAGTTTTTCCTAATTAAATATAACAAATTAATAGGTGTGATTGAATAGTATATCATAAGTGCATGCACAAATATTACACGTATACTTACTAGTATAATTTATCAATTTAGTGATTGGAAAAAGCTAAAGTGGCATCCTTTTATTCGTTAACGACTTAACGTGATGTGTTCACCACATATATTAAACAAAAAAACACTTTAATTCCTTTCTATTTGATGTGTTCACACATGTTCAACTATCCGTATTATTCTAACACAATGACATAATATTAATCCTCCTCTCAAAATATTTGTCATATTTTATAAATAAAAAAATATTTTTTATGTTTTACCTTTCTAGAAATTGACTATATATAATATATTTTTTTGTAATTTTTTGATTATTTAAATATTAAATTATTCAAAATCTATTTAGTTTGAACAATTAATTAAATCTACTTTTAAAAAATAAAATATGATACATTATTTTAAAATTGAAAAATACTATATGCCAATGAAGATGGAATAATCTCATGAAATTGTCAAACTAATGGTTTGAATAAATAAAAATATAATATTTGAGTTGGTTGTAATTTTTAAATATTCTAATGCAAATTAAGATTAAGGTGACGCTACTTCTAAGTAGGAAAGTTGGATTAGAGTTTTGCTTTGACATTAGCAGGAAAACTTTAAAAGATTTTAAAATCACAAATGATATGATCCTTTCGATATTAAAAAATCTTAGAAAGTTGAAATTATAAAATTCAAATCTCGAATATATAGATAAATAAAAAAACCCTATTAAGCTATAGACATATGAACATTATTATGGTGATTATGTATTGCACGTGCTAAAGTTTATGTCAAATATTATGAAATTGTTATATTAAAAGAATAATAAGTTATTAATTTTATTGAATAATGATTTTTGATAAAATTATGTGTATCAAATAGTTTAAAATCACACATATTTATTTATGAAGTGAATATAGAGATTTGCAATTCCATAAGCAGGTGCACCTACAGATTTGAAGGGTTGAAATCCCTAATGAGAAATCTTTCACGGTACATTATGATTCTTTCGTGAAGCGCTTTTCCACTTTTGTCCATGCAAGCAAAGAGGTTTCAAGATAGCATACGATCAAAAAACTCCTGGCAAATCTTCTAGAGAGCGTATCCTTAGTCTCTACTCCATCTCTATTCTAAAACGAAAAATAGAAAGGAAAAGAACGTTAAAATATTTCAATATCTTGTTATTATGATTCATATATTCATTTGCTAAGATCATATCAGCATTGAAAATTTTCAAATTATATTCACAACTTGTAAATATTTTGATGTTTATGAAAAATATATATATTTAAAAAAAAATCAAATTACATATTCAAATGCTAATTTAACTTTAAATAAATTTAATTTTCATATCACATGTCCAAAGATAAGTTTTAGTATTCTCACGGAATTTTCTCTTGACTAACAAATAAAAAGTGTAGAAGTTGTCAAGATATGGAATTGCTTTTGTTAGACAACGCTTTACTTCTTATGTGAGACTTATCCATTCAAATTCAAATTTAGTTTGATTTCAATGCCTTCAATATGAAACTTCTAGATTCGAATTCAAATTAAATCGATTCCAGTACATCAGGAAAAAAGGAAAGAAAACTAAAGCTTAATCCCCTAATCCAAAAAGGTCACTGAGCTTCAGTCTTACCAAACACGTACCTCCCCATATATTCCCAGAACTTTCCTCCACTACCCCAATCATCCTGGCGGCTACTATATTTTTTCTCCTTTTTTGACTAAATCACTTGTCCCAATTCGATACCTAATCCATTTTTTCTCTCAAATTCATATTTTTTGGATACCCTTTTGCTTATTGAATCATTTTGTGATTGGAATTTTTTTGATTAGTGAAGAGATGAAGATGTTTGAGTTATCTGATTCGGATTCATTGGCTGGTTTTGCATCATCAAGGAATGTTTTTCCACCGGGATTTAGGTTTCATCCGACTGACGAGGAACTTGTTCTGTACTATTTGAAGAAGAAGATCTGCCGGAAGAGGATTCTGCTTGATGCCATTGCTGACACTGATGTTTACAAATGGGAACCGGAGGACTTGCCTGGTATGTTATGATATGATTTTTGAATTGTGGGTTTTGATTTTCTTGGTGTTTTGGGGTCGTTGACTTGATCTGATCATGGGTTTTGATTTTCTTTGTGTTTGGGTTTGTGATTTTTAAGCTGTTAATTGTGGAGGGTTGTGATTGATCTATGTATTGTAGTGATTTTTCTTGTGTTAATTGCATTGTATGTTCTATAATTCTCTTAGAGTTACAATTACATGTAGTTTGTGTATATGAACCTCTATGTGTTCTGTTTCATAATTGTTATGCGTTTTATATTTGCTGTGAGGAGTTAATTGTGCTTATGCACTTGAGCCGAGGGTCTTTTGGAAACAACCTCTCTACCTCCACGAGGGTAGTGGAGATAGAGGTAAGGTCTGCGTACATTCCTATCCTCCCAGACCTCACTTGTCGGATATCAAGGTATTATGTTGTTCGTTGTTGAGTTTATTGTACTTATAGGTGTATTGTTGTGTAATTGAGCTTCTAAGGTGGTTGTTGGTTTATACAGGATCATTTGTTGAATTAGATTTACTTGAAATAGCTTCATGTACCTGTGTTTATGGCCTAATTTCTCAACTTTATTGTTGTTGTTGTTTTTTTCCTTTCTGTGTTTTCTGTTCTCTAGGTTGGTTGGGGGTTAGCTTCAGCTGTATTTGTGTTTTTCCAAAACAAAATTTTAATAGAATTTGTATTGATTGAAGAACATCTGAGAATTATGATCTAACATGATCTTGAGTCGGGGGAGATCATCCGTGAAAGTCTAGAAATATCAGAACCAGTCTTCGCCATGCATTTCTTTACCTTTGGTTATCAAATGTAAATGTGACCATTTTGAATGTTGTTAACCCAAATTCTTCCCTTTTTTGTGTTTTGTTTGCTTTTCGCTCTTTTGGTTTCCTTCGTAACCTTTATCTTATTCATACTTGTTAATTGTTCTAAAATTAACTGGTACTGCTTTGTAAAATCATATTGTGGTAGATAGTGTTTCATGACCTTTGTTAATCTTTTGAATAGTATACTCATGGATTTGCTATTTGAACTGCAGATCTATCTAAGTTGAAAACTGGGGACCGGCAGTGGTTCTTCTTTAGTCCCAGAGATCGAAAGTATCCTAATGGAGCACGGGCAAACAGGGGAACGAAGCGTGGGCACTGGAAAGTTACCGGAAAGGATCGAACTATTACGTGCAACTCTCGTGCTGTTGGAGTTAAGAAGACCCTAGTCTTTTATAAAGGCCGAGCACCAGTAGGTGAACGGACAGACTGGGTGATGCATGAGTATACTATGGATGAAGAAGAGCTGAAAAAATGTCAAAATGCCCAGGACTACTATGCGCTTTACAAGGTATTTAAGAAGAGTGGCTCCGGGCCTAAGAATGGTGAGCACTATGGTGCACCTTTTAGAGAAGAGGAGTGGGCTGATGATGAATGTCCAAGTGCCAAAGGCTTTGTCCATCAGGATGCTCCTCCTGTTGATGGTGGACTCGAGGAGTTGTTGAACCCTGTGCTTATGGAGCCACTTTCTGTAGATTATGATTATGCACTGGAGCAGCTTGTACATGAGGAGGATACTCGAAGTACCTTGCTAGATCATTCGGCAAAGGAAGTTAATTTTCCCCACCACAGTGCGGTGATTGCCCCAGCAAAGGAAAGCTTTGACTTGACACAGTCTGGCACATCACAGCTACAGTTACATGAGGTAACAGAAGTCACATCTGCTCCCGTTATTTATGAACAGCAGCCACATGTGGTGGAAGAGGATTTCCGTGAAGATTTTCTGGAGATGAATGACCTCCTTGGTCCGGAGCCAAGCACTCAGAACTTTGATAACTTGGAGCTGTATGTTAAAAACTTTGATGAGGCAGGACCAAGTGGTCAAAACTTTGATATGCCTGCTGGAAACTTTGAAGATTTGCAATTCGATTTTTTAGATGGGTTGTCAGAGTTTGACCTGTTTCATGATGCACCGTTGCTTGATGATATAAGAACAACTGAAGTTGGGCAAATTACTGAACCATACATGAACAACTTTGTGAATGGTTCTGAAAACCCTGCTTCTACAACATATATAAGCACTTTTCAGCATGAAATGATGAACAACCAGCTAATGTATTTGAATGAGGGAGAACAGACTAGCAATCAACTGTGGACACAAGATCAAAGGTTCAACATCTTTAACCCCAGCGAGGCAAATCAGTTGGTTGTTCCTCCAGCTACTTCAGGTACCCAAATGATCTCAAACAGCAATAATGCAACTTTTGCTTGGCCTATGCTGTATTAATGATCTTTTACGATTTTCATAAAACACATTTTCTATGTGATCTGACTTTATGGAGCTCTTGGCAGATGATGGTATAAGAATAACCATGTCATCTTCAGCATGGCGAGAACTCTATTGCCCAAGTGGAAATGGGGGAGTTTGAGCCAGCAAGAGCTCTGCTGCTGCTAATATATTGGTGTTAGATTATTTTTTTTCCTAATTTTTTCAAGTTTTGGCAATGTTTTAGGTGTTGTATATGATAGTATTTTGGCAAATCATCCTATTGGCGCAAATCAAAATCAACTACCCAATCAAGACGATGGTACACCATCATGGTTGACCTCTCAGTTGTGGGCCTTCGTGGATTCTATACCTACTTCTCCTGCTATAGCTGCTGAAAGTCCAGTGGTTAATAGTGCCTTTAAGCGCATGTCTAGCTTTAGTAAGATGAGAATAAACTCCAGGAACATGAATGTTGTGGCAGCAGGTAATACAGCAACTTCAAGAAGTTCGCGCCACTCTAAGAATGGGCTTTTTTATTTTTCTTTTCTTGGAATACTGTGTGCAATCTTATGTGTGTTAGTAGGAACATTTGTCGACATCTTGAGGAGACTCATATCCTCTTAAATATGCAAAGAAAAGTTGATGTTCTATCATTTGGCATCTTGCCAGAATCAATGAGAAGCAGAGCATACATTCTATGAGTAAAACAAAATCTACTTATAAGTATGATGTTTAAATTCCCCCTTCCCCTTGGTGGTCGTTTGGTTGCTAGGTAGAGTTATGCATGTATTAGTAATACAAAGGTTAGCTATGCATGTATTAATAATGTACGGATTAGTTATGCAGATATTGGTATTAGAATGGAAGGATTAGTTGTACAAAGATTAGTTATGCTAGGTTAAGTTGCCATGATTTAGTTATTCTACTTTCTACCTTGCATAAAATAATGCATAGATTTCCTCCTAACTTATACATGTGTTAGTTATGTGTAAAAGAAAAACATGAACCAAACATTGTATTAGCAATACTATGTTTTATGTGAAAAGAGAAAAAATCAACCAAACATAGTATACTTTATGCTAGATTCTACATGAGTATTATGTTTTTCCTCATTTTGTAACCAAACAACTTACAAAGTTATGCTAGTTTTTAATACATGAATAACTCCTCTCTAACTAGCAACCAAACGACCTCTTGTACCACCCTAAAGTAGTAACAAAAAGGAAAAAATAACATAGGAAAATATCCCTCAAGTGAACAGAAGAACAAAGGAATTATGCCATTGGCAATTTTGACTGAAGTTTGAGATTATTTCATAATCAGCTTCTTTTTGCTTTTAGAGTTTTGATTTGCAGGTATACATAATTGGGTTTAATTTAGGTGAGTTCAAGTTGATTTCTGATTTGGAAGGTTCAATGTGGCTTGAAATTTGATTTTGTGTCTAGTTTTCTTGTTTATAGGTTGCACAGGTTGACCTATTTGGTCAGGTAAGTTCGGTTTGGTACTTGTTTTCGTTACTCAAGAGGAAATCGATTTTTAACTTGTCTTGTGATTATGCAGCATAATATATCATCAGCTGTATAATCCAGTTACTACCTGCTATTCTTACTTTGTAAAATTGCTTGCTATGAATTGTTTGTCCTTCAGCTCATAGTTTTTTTCTGCTCCAAATTATGTTCAATTCCAACATGGTTTTTGTCATACCCTAAACTGGAGAAGTGACTATTCTTAACCTAGCTGAAGTATTTTGATCGTCCGAGTTTCGAAGTTACTAGTATGTATAACTTGTTTGGTGCTACAGACAAGGTTCGGAGAAGTGGTAAGTACACTGTCATTCTTAACCAGAGTTTCTGGTTTGAGCCCGTGGTATGATGCCACCTTTGTTTGGGAATACTTTACTCCAATGTGGGACTGGTAGCAAACTTCAGGTGGGAAGTCAAAAAATAAGTAAATTCAGTGATTCTAACAAATACCCAAGGAAGGACATGAAATTTCCAAAACTGTATTTTCGACTACACACTTATTCATTACTATTTCATTTGGGGGGACAACATCTATAGCTCTTAACATTTCTCAAAACTTCCTCATCTGCATTTACATTTTCCGGCAGCCGGAATGAGACCCCCGAGGCATCGCTCCACGTGCTGCCACTTGTCGCTCACTCGTTTCGCTTTCTCTCCACTTGTATTTCTCTGATATGTTTGCAACCTTAAAAATCAATTAGATCTTCTGTCTGACGCTCTGCCATGAAAAATAACACTTAGCTTTACAAGTAATAGCCTTGCAAATCTACACCCTTCTGAATATATGGAGCATAGTCCTATTATACAACCTATTGTTTCCACTTCTTTATTTTTCTTTCTCATTAATTCAATACCCAACTATATGTAGTCCTTTTCAAGTTTTTTTTTTTTTTTTTTTTTTT